ACGGCTTCTGAATACCTGCCGGATGGTCCGCTCTGAGTCAGTCCCAACTCAATAGCAATGAGTTTTGAGTTTTATCAAGATGCAAATCGTAGTCTGATTTTTAAAAAATTCTCTTGTTTAAAGTTAGTCACTTCATTACCCAAACCAAACCCACTGCTGACTTGTCATAATCCCCATATAATAGAGAACTGCTTCCTCCTGAGTCCAAGGCTGCAAATATTTTTGGAAACAGCCTTCCCTGTCTCTCCCTGTTGAGTGGCTGGTGAGTTTAAACCACTTTCTATTCATTTTAAGAATAGGAAACATTAGTAATTAAAGAGATGTTGTTAGAACAATTGACAGAAGATAGTAAGAAGGAGCTGGAAAGAGTAGGACTGTGCAAAAATGCATGAGTAAGAAGGGAACAATGAGTAAGAAGGGAAAAGGTGTAAGAATTTGGAAATAACAATGACAAGAAAAGACTCCACCTAACTTGGTGAGACTTCATCTCATGGAATGAGGGGCATGCTATCAGGAAGAGCCAGGCCCTAAAGAAAGACATCATGCTTGGAAATAACAAGGAAAGAAAAGTGAGGAGGAGCCTCAATGAGCTGTACTGACACAGTGGTTCCAACAACCGGCTTACACACAGAGATGGCGAAGATGGCAGATGAGCAAGCAGGGCTTCCTTCTGTAGTGTACGGGACCTCTATGTGCTGGAGCCCACTCGCTGTCACCAAACAAGAACTTCAGTCTCTGGCCCTTGAGTTTCTGGGTGTTTTAGTTGATAAGATAAAGTCCAGGGCAAATGGTTCTTAACCAGTTTTAAGATGGTCCTTTATATAGTTCAATTAAGGCAAACTCCTGATGGCAGCTTGTGGAGAGAAGATTGCTGATCATAGATGGAGGCTACAGAAGCTTTGAAGGACTTACCAAGGAAGGGAGAGAGGTAGAGAGAACAATCTGATTAGCTGTTGTTGATAGGTGCCATTGAGTTGACTACAACTCATCACAATCCTATGAACAACAGAACCCTTCCCTGCGCTGTGCCATCATCATGCTCAAGCCCAGTGTTATAGTCACTGTGCCAATCCATTTCATTAAGGGTCTTCCCCTCTTCTGCCTTCCCCTACCTTTCCCTAGTTCTTTCCCACCAGTGGCACAGGAGAGAAAGATGGGCAATCAACCTCTGTGCAATTAACACTCTTGGCGCCAGCAGCCAGGAAATTAAAAGACTTATGCATTGAGAAAGGCTGCTGTCAGAGACCTCTCCAAAGTACTGAAGAATATTGATGTCAGTCTGGAGACTAAGGTGTGCCTGATACAGGTCATAGTCCTTGCAATCACTTGCTATGCATTGAGAGCTGGACAGTGAATAGGGTTGACAGAAAGAGAATTGATGCCTTTGAGCTCTGGTGATGGAGAAGAGTATTGAATATACCATGGACTGCTAGGAGAACAATCAGGTTCATCCTGGAGAGGTTTAAACTAGGCTGCTCCTCGGAGGCAAGGATTCTGAAGCTTCATCTGACATATTTTGGACATGTTGCAAGGAGGGACCGGTCCTTGGAGAAGGATATCATACTGGGGATTGTGGAGGGACAGTGCAGGAGAGGAAGACCCTCATTGAGATGGATTGATTCAGTGACTGGGGTAATGGGTGTAGGTATGTCACAGGCAATGCGATTGACACAGGATAGAGCAAGGGTTAGGGCTGTTGTATGTGAGGTCGTTGTGAGTCACAGGTGACTCGACAGCACATAACAACAAAAACCTGCTAAAAGGTCAGCTATGAGTCAATTCAGACTCAACGGTACACAGTACCAACAACATACCTTTCCTAGTATGATGTCTCTTTTTCCAAGGATTGACCTCTCTTGACAACCTGCCGAAAGAAAGAAGTTTCACCATCATTGCCTCTATGGAGCATGGGAGAGAGTTGAGGGTGGGAAGAAGGGGACTTCTGTGCATCACTGCATGCTGTAAAGCATGATGGAAGAGTTGTTGAGACATTCTTATTCTAACATTCTTGATGCGTGCACCCTCAGGCATTAAGTTATGGTCCAGCGTCAGGATTTCTAGTTTTATTTTAACAGCTGACAGCTCTAGGATCATCAGCCAAAGCTAGTGGTTTTACCTTCGACCTTTTGGAACCTTTTATGTGAGGAAGACTTGGTGTAAATTTCTTAACTGTTTTAGTCATTTTAAGTATCTGAACATAAAAAGGAAAAGAAAGAAAAAGCATCGTATCACTGATAAATTTTGCGTGTGTTGCAAATCAGTAATATTTCAGGAGCCAATATTACAAAGAAAGAAAATAATATCTGAGAGCTTATATATCAGCTACATTTGACTTCAAAGCACATTAATGATCCAAATAAAACAGATAGTGACAGAACAGATCAGCATATTTGAAGACATTTGGTAATACTTTCCTGCTAAGCAAATACACTTTGTAACTTATACATATAAATCAGTGACAGCTTTATGATCCTCCAAATGCTAACAGTGATGCTGAAACAGAATTGCCAGCCCTTCTTTCTCACTCTGCCATCATTCTTCTGACTCCCATCCAATCTGCATTATTACTGTCTATTCTTTGTTGTTGTAACAAGAGAATAGTGCTTGAACGAGACACTTGAAATTGTACAATAATAATTGTTAAAGGCAAGGAATTATTAAAGAAGTTCATTCTATCATTGATGAAAGTTAACTTTTAAAATATTTACACCAATTACCTAATAACCTACTTGTTTGAACTTCTAGATCAATAAGTTGATGCTATAATGACACAAAGATTATTCACATAACAACACACAACAACATAACCACACAAATGGGATGCTGTTGTTGTTTTGTGCACCATCAAGTCAGAACTGACCTATACTGACACTCCAGCGGGATTTCAGAGGGAGTTAATTGCACAGGAGGAGATTGCATATCCTTTTTTCACAGAGCAGCTGGTGGATTCAAACTGTGTGCCTTCAGGATTGCAGCGCAGCTTCTTGCCCCTGGGCCATCAGTGCTTCCTCTCTAATAGGCTACTGCTTAAAATTGCTATTTCAGCTCAACTCTTGGTCCATCTAGGCTATGAATCTCATCAGCCAAGGAGCTTCCAGTTTAGCTGAGTTGGGTTTCCTGACAGTCATTTGTTCTATCACTTCAAAAAGTGTTCTCCTGACAAAGAAAATTCTCCAAGGGCAAAAAACACAAAGAGAGTGAAGTAACTTGAGACTGGTTGGAGGAAAGACGTATAAAATCAAAGGAGAGTAATACAGACATCATGTGCCCACTTCCTCACTAATTGAAAAAACCGAACTCTACCGGAGGAAACACTGCGTGGTTTTAAAATCAGGAAAAGTATATATCAGGGTTGTAGTCTTTTAACACAGGTCAATAAAAGATTGAAATTGTCAATAATTTCATCTTACTTAGATCCACAATCAACACTTTTGGTACCAGCAGTCAGGAAATCAGGAGAAGTACTGCATTTGGCAAGTCTGCTGTGAGGAACTTCTCCAAATTATCAAAGTAGTGGAGAACTAAAGTGTGCCTGATTTGGGCCATAGTCTTTCCAATCACTTGCTATGCATTCTGGGTTCTGGAAAATAAATAAAGTTTACAGAAGAAATAAATTTTGAGTTGTAGTGTTGGAGAAGAGCAGTGAGTATCCCGTGGACTGCTAAAAGAACAAACAGATGTGTTTTGGAAAAGGTGCAGCCAAAGCACTCCTTGGAGGCAAGAATGACAAAGCTCTGTCTCACATACTTTGGACATGTTGCTAGGAGAAGGTCTTCCTTGGAGAGGGACATCATGCTTGGATACATGGAGTGTCAGCAAAAGATAGGAAGACTTCAACAAGATGGATTGGCATTGTGTCTGCAGCAATGGGCTCAGGTATGTCAGAGATGATGAGGATGGCTTAGTATGTGACAGGATTTTGATGTGTTGTTCACAGGGTCACTGTGAGTTATATTCAACACAAAGGCACCTAAGAACAACAATACAGTGGGAGGGGAGTTTGAGCTCTGTGGCTTCGCGGTAAGGGATTGTGCTGCCAAACTAAAGGTGCACAGTCCACATCTATAAGCTGCTCCGCAAGAGAAAGATGGGCAATCTCCTGTGTAATTTAAAGTCTCTGAACATCTGCTGGAGAGTCAGCTATGAGTTGGTTTTGACATGACAGTGAATAACATCAGTAACAGTATATATCGAGAAAAAAGTCCCAGGAACTTTGTTCTTGTTAGATGCTGTGCAATCGACTCTAAATCATAGTGACCATACACACTAATAATAAAGTCCTGCCCGCTCTTGTGCCATCCTCACCCTCATAGCCACTGCTAGGCTTGTCCTCACTGCTGCAGCCACTGTGTCACTCCACCTCCCACTATATTGCAATCTTTCTCTTTCTCAAGAACTTTCTCTTTTGTGAAGCATGATGCCTTTATCCAGGGTTTGGCCCCTTCTGAAAAACATGTCCAAAGTACCTGAGACACAGTTTTACCAACCTGGCTTCTAACGGAGCATTTTGACTCTATGTCTTCCAAGGAAGATTTGTTTGTTCACTTCATAGTATGTTCAATAATCTTCATCAACATCACAATTCAAAGACATCAATTCTTCCACAGTTTTCCTTATTGATCATCCAATTTTCACATGAATAATAGACATGTGAACAGACGACACCAAGGTTTAGGGCAGACTCACTTTAAAGCCTCAAAATTACAATTTTGCTCTTTAACACTTTAAAGGAGTCCTTGAAATCAGATTTGTCCAATGAAGTATATTGTTTGATCTGTTGACTGCTACGTTCATGAGCATTGAGAGCAGATGCAAGTAGAATGAAGTCCTTGACAATTTTTTTTTAATTTATCATGATATTTATTGGTCTAGTTGTAAGGATATATCAAAGTATAACCTGTACTGAGGGATATAGTCTTTGATCAGTAATTGTTTAAAATCTTCATTTTCTTTTTTTTTGGAATGTGTATAACCCATTTAATAACAGAAGACCTACAGACTTATTTCTTCTTGGACACACCCACAGTACGGCCCCGACGGCCAGTGGTCTTGGTGTGCTGGCCTCGAACTCGAAGGCCCCAAAAGTGACGCAGCCCTCTGTGGGCGAGGATCTTCTTCAGTTGCTCCAGGTCTTCACGGAGCTTATTGTCCAGGCCATTGGCCAGAACCTGACTGTATTTCCCATCCTTCACATACTATCGTCTGTTCAAGAACTAGTCTTGAAATCCTGTACTGGTGTGGATTCTGCATAGTGGTAATCACATGCTCCACCTTCTCTTCAGTAACCTCTCCTACCCTCTTGGTGAGGTCAGTGTCTCCTTCCCTCAACACCACATGAACACATCTTCGCCCTACACCCTTAATGGCAGTGATGGCAAAGGCTATTTTCTGCCGCCCATCAATGTTAGTGTTGAGTACTTGCAAAATGTGCTGGAACTTCTCTGGGATCACTAGAGACATGGAAGCAGCAGCAATGGCAGTGTGTAGGCCTCCAGTGGAAGCTAAAATCTTCATTTTCAACAAGCAAGTTTGTACCATCTGCATATCCCTGACTGTTAATGAGTCTCCCTCCAATCATGATGTTACATTCTTTTCTATTTATAATTCAGCCTCTTGAATTATTTGCTCAGAATACAGATTAAATATAGTTAAAAGATAAAACTGTAATGTTCACCTTTCCTAATGTTAAACCAAGTTCTGTTCAAATGCAAGTCTAAATTCTATTCAAGGACAATTAATTGGTCGTGAATTTCCACTTTTCACAATGCTATCCATAGTTCATTGTGATTCACATGGTCAAATCCCTTTGCATAGTCAATAAAGTAAAGGTAACCATCTTGTTATTCTTTGTTTCAATCAAGAACAATCTGACATCATCTTCTGAAACCAGCTTGGATCCAGCAGCCATTTGTTAATTAACTACAGTAAGGTTTTCTTTTCATGTAATATTGATTATGTTGTTCAATAATTTCCATATTCTTTTGTATAATTTTTATTTCAAAAGGACAGAAAAACATGGAGTTTTTCTAGTTAATTGGTCAGGTAGCATAAACCAGTGACCAATTTCAGGGCTGCATCACTTTATTGAAACATCATAATTTGTATTCCATCCATCCCTGGAGTCTTGGCTTTTTGTCGATGCTTTTAGTTAAGTTTGCTCTTCTTCCTTGAGCACCATTTCTTGAGCATTTGCTTCCTCCTGCAATGGCTGGGCTTGGATCAATTCTTTTTGTTATGGTGGCTGTGGATTCCTTCCATCTTATTTTGATATTTCTTGTGCCATTCAGTGTTTTATCCATAGAATTCTTCACTATTGAAACTCAAGGCTTAAATGTGTTCTTTCCTTGTTAGCTTGCAAAATGCTGAGTATGCCCTTCCTTTTGAACTTTCTTAGCTTCAGATCTTTTATATATTTTATGACAATACTGAGTCTTCTCAAGCTTCCCTTTGGAATCTTCTGTTTACCTCTCTTCCTTCATCATTTCTCCCATTCACTGTAGGTTCTCTACATTCCAGAATGAGTTTTAGAGTCTCTTCTGACATGTGTTTTGGTCTTTTCCCCTCCTGTCTTTTTAATGACCTTTTTCTTTCTTCATGTGAGATGTTCTTCATGTCATCCCACGCTCAGGTGGTCTTTGGCCAATAGGACTCAATGTATCAAATCTATTCTTGAGGTGATCTTTAAATTCAGTTAGTGTGTACTCGAGGTATAGTTGCAGGTAATACTGCCTTGCTTATTGAAAATGAGAAGACCTTGAAGCATTTAATAAAGATCAAAGATTACACTCTTCAAAATGAATTGCACTCTAACACAAGGAAAACAAACATCCTCATATATGAATCAATTAACAACATCATAATAAATGGAGGGGAAAAATAGTAGCTGTCAAGGACTTCATTTACTTGGATCCACAATCAACACCCAAAGAAGCAGCAATTGTAGTTGTGTAGCATCGGCTCAGAACTGACCCATAGCTGACCCTCTAGTCTGTTTTTAGAGGCAGTTAATCACATGAGAAATTTCCCATCCTTCTCTTGCACAGTTGCTGGTGGATTCAAACCTTGTGCCTTTGGGATTGCAGCACAGCTTCTTACCACCAGAGCTCCTTATGTGCTTCTCCAAAAGAGCAAAGAGAGGACCTATAGATAGGGAAAAATATTTAACAATAGCTTATCTGATCAAGGACTAAAATGTATAGAAAGTATCAGCACCACATCCAGAAAAAAACAACCCAGTTACAAAGTAGACAGAGGACACTAAAAGACTTCAACAATGTAGACATTCAAATAGCCAACAGACACAAGAAGAAATATTCAACATCATCAGCTATCAGAGAGATGAAGATCAAAACAATAAAGAAACATATTGACTGGAAATCTCATTTGATTCTAGCATGTGTCTTAGAGAACAAAGAGCTAGGGCACAAGCTGATAAATGAATCCTCACCTTTATTGCCACATTATTTGCAAAACCAAATAGTTGGAAACAACCCAAGTGTCCATTAACAGACAAATGGATAAAGAAACTAAGCTAAAAACTAATAGATAAATTCAGTGAAAGGAAAGGCATTGTACAATAAGTTGATTAGATTTTGGACTTAATCACATTAAACAATTGTAATTAATGTTATGAAATGAAATGTGAATGAATGATTGAACAAAAATTCAGTACTATTTGTAAACCTTCTGACAAATAAAAGAGGTAAAGGAAAAATAGAAAATCTTATCATTGTCCAATCAGAATTGACTCATAGTTGACTCTCTAGTTTTTCAGAAGCTGTGAATGGCACAGGAGGAGATTGCCGGTCTTCCTCCAAGGGAGCCAGTGGCGGGTTTGTCCTGCCGATGGGCCCCTTTTGGTTTAGCAGCACAGCTCTCTGGTGGTTCGAATCTACCATTGGCACTGAGAGAGACAGACAGTCTCCTTCTGTGCAATTTACTGCCTCCAAAAACTCCCTGGAGGATCAGCTATGAGTTGTTTCTGACTTCTCAGCGATGGATTTGGGTGGTTTTTTGGTTTTTTTAAAGAAAAATTAAAATAGAGAAACTGTAACACTGGACTGGATTGGGCAGGGTTTTGATCTGTAAATAGGGTCACTCTGACTCACACTCAGAGACATCTAACAACACACTCAAGGGCATATTTTTACTTTCATGGACTTTAAAAAACAACCCAAACGCTTCAGTTTCAGCTTGACTTTGCTTCAAATTGAATATGAGCTGTTAATGATTTGTTCCACTGTCATCCCTGCCTTGTTTTGAATGTTGGTATTGAACTTTTGCACTGTTTCTTTCCACAGATGTAGTCAATTTGATTCACACGTATTACATCCTAGGAGCTTATATTACTACTGTTCATGTTATTGCCAGCAAAAAAGGTCTATCTTGTAATCTCTAGCCTCATTTCTATTACCAGAGCTGTATTTTCCAAGCACTGGTCTTTTCTTTCCAACTTTTGTATTCCGATCACTAGTGATTATCAGAGGCAGCTCTCATGGTCTTAGCGGTAAGGAGCTGAGCTGCCAGCCCAAAAGCACTAAATTCAAATCCTTCAGCTTTTCTGCAGGAGAAGGATGGTCAATCTCTTTCTGAACCGTTTACAACTTCTGAAAGCCCACTAGAGGGTCAGGTATGACTTGGTTTGAACTCTACAATACACAACAACAGTGACGGCTAGTGGAGCTTTGGTGATGAAGTCCTTAGGGAGCTTCTCAGCTAAACCAAAATCCACAGCCTCTCTTCCAGTTTGAATCCATCAGCAGCTTCATGGGACAAAGATGAGCAATCTTCTCCCTTATATTTTACAGCCTCCAAAAACCTGCGGAAGCTAGGAGTCAATGATTACTCAGTGTCAGTGGATTATGGATTTATTATCAATGGATAGTGATTGCATGTTCCATCAATTTTAGACCACAGAAATTGGTAGAAATTCTCCATTTTTTTCACCTATGATGTTAGTCATGGTTGGCACTTATCTATCAGTTTACTGTACTGTGGTGGCTGCTTCTTCCTGTGCTGTTGGAAGCTATGCTACTGGCTGAAAAACATCAAAACCATCTTATAGACATGAATAAGTCATACACAATGGGACAAAGAGGGATACATTTCATTGTCTTAGAACTTAAAATATATTCATATGCCTATGAATATAGTGGTTCAGAAGTTTCTTTATCTTTCAATACAGACTTATTGCTGTTATGTGCCGTCAAATTGCTTGTGAGTTATAGTGACCCTATGAACAACAGCTCTGAACTCTATCTTGAACCAGCCTCATCATCTCTGACACACGTATCCCATTTTCCCAGTCACTGAGTCAATCGGTCCCATCGATGGTCTTCCTCTCCTGTGCTGTCCCTCCACCTCCCAAGCATGACATCCTTCCCCAAGGACTGGTGCCTCCTTGCAACATGCCTAAAGTATGTCAGACAAAGCTTTAGAATCCTTGCCTTCAAGGAGCAGCCAGTTTCACCCTCTCCAGAACAAACCTATTTGTTCTCCTAGCAGTCCATGGTATATTCAACACTCTTCTCCAGTACCACAACTCAAAGGCATAAATTCTCCTTCTGTCCTCTTTAGTCATTGTCCACCTTTCTGATGTATAGCAAGTAACTGTGAAGGCCATCACTATTAACTTTTCACTTTTGTGCTTGAGAAATATGGTATATTATACGTAGTGTGTCTGTGGTAATTTGCCACTAGATGGCAGTGCTGTGATTTGAGTATGACAACAAACCTCAAATGATGCAAAAGTAGGTAGAGATGTGGATCCTGTTTCAACTTTCTGCAGGTGGAAATCCAGTTTTGCCAGCACCATTTGTTGAAGAGCTTATCATTTAATCCATTTGATAGCTTTGATTTTCTTGGTGAATATCAATTGACCATAGATAGCTGGGTCTGTTTCTAGGTTCTCAATTCTGTTCCATTGGTCTATGTGCCTGTCATTGTACCAGTACCATGCTGTTTTGGTTACCACTGCTGTATAGAAGGTTTTGAGGTCAAGGAGTGCTATGCCTCCAACCTCAATTTTGTTTCTCAGAAGTGTTTTTCTTATTCAGGGTCTCTTGCCTTTCCAAGTAAATATTATAATTTCCCTTTCAATCTCCTTGAAAAATGAATTTGGTATCTGGATTGGGATTGCATTGAACCTGTAGATTGCTTTTGGTAGGATTGTAATTTTCACAATATTGAGTCTTCCTTTCCATGAAGAGGGCACCTTTTTCCTTTTTTTTAGATCTTTTATTGTGTCTTGCAGAAATGCTCAGTCGTTTTCTTTGTATAAGTCTTTTGTATCTCTAGTTAGATTCACTCACAAGAATCTCAATTTATGCTTGACTATTGTAAATGGTATTGCTTTCTTGATTTCCTTCTCAGAGTTCTCTTTGTAACTGTAGAGGATTCCTACTGATATTTGATAAACTATAAAAAAATTTCCTTTCACAAGTATGGATATGGTACAGGTTGAGGAGGAGCTGATGATTTGTGAAAGAATTGGGAAAACTGGAAATGTGATTCTC